TGAATAATACATTTGATTATTACTTTGTGTGTTTTGTTTTGTGAAATGTATTTTTTGGACAATGTGTATATAATAATACCAATCAAATTCATCTAGAGAAATTTTCTAATAGCAGTGAAAATTACTTTTTGTATTGTGTTTTTAGAAACATACTTTGGGAGTGCCTTTATAATACCAGTCAAATTCATCTAGAGAAATTTGCCAAATGTAGAGAAATTTACTATGGGCATTGTTTTTATTGAAATGTGCATTGTATTTTGTGAGGTCAAATTCATCTAGAGAAATTTGCCAATAGCAGAGAAAATTACAGTGTACATTGTGTTTGTTGATACATACTACAAGTAGTGTGTTTATAATACCAGGCAAATTTATCTAGAGAAATTTGCCACTAGTAGAGAAAATTCTCTATGCATTGTGTTTTGTGAGGTGAAATTCATCTAGAGAAATTTGCCAATAGCAGAGAAAATTACTGTGTGCATTGTGTTTTTTGAATTTGATGATTGTTTTGTACCAACACAGTTCATTACAGATTACATGATCATATAGGCATCCTCTTGGCACTATACGAGTTAAATTTCTCTGTGAATTTCTGGTAACTTCATACCAGTCAAATTCATCTAGAGAAATTTGCCAATAGAAGTTAAATTTACTATGGACATTGTGTTTGTTGAAATGTGCATTGTGTTTTGTGAGGTAAAATTCATCCAGAGAAATTTGCTAATAGTAGAGAAAATTACAATGTGCATTGTGTTTGTTGAAACATACTATAGGTAATGTGTTTATAATACCCGTCAAATTCATTTGGAGAAATTTGCCACTAGTAGAGAAAATTCTCTGTGCATTGTGTTTTGAAGCTTCAAATTCATCTAGAGAAATTTGCCAATTGCAGAGAAAATTACTGTGCGCTTTGTGTTTTTTGAATTTGATGATTGTTTTTGTACCAACACAATGCGAGAGAGATTTTTATACGTATTACGTTATTGAGTGGAAGGCTGAGAGGCACGGCAGCGGTTTTGGATTTCTGTACTTGGGCTGTGTGTCAGATTTGGATTACACGAGTCTGCTGCAGCATTTGAATGTAACTATATTGAGTTATTGAGTTATTTTGGATGATATAGATGTATGCGAAAAGTAAATTCTCACAAATCACAATTAAATCTTAACTGCTGGGTTTCATAAGAAATTCTACAAATTAGAAATTCTATAGTTATTGAATCTCAATTCAAGATTCTTATAGTTATATGCGAAATAGTATTTTTAACTGTTTGGGTCAATTCTTTAACTTTAAACGTTACAGTGGGTGCCAAGCCAGGCTTTAAGTTTGACAGGTGGTTAAAGGAATACCCGGATCAGGTTGGAGGACATTGGGATTGAGATTTTGCAGAATAATTGAAAGCTATTATATAGGTGGCTTAGTTGCTTGGCTTCCTTATTTTTGCGGATGACCCTTAATTTGAGATGTTATATTCTCTTATCCAATCTGTAAGAAGTGTATGGACATAGAAAATGCAATGAGGGGTTCTGGATCTGTGTTTTTAATTACATCGAAGTCAACGTTGGGAAAATTAATTTCCATTGGATTTAGCATAGCTTTGATGTTAGAGTTCAAAAGAACTTTCTCCTAAGTCCATCAACTCCATGGCCAATGCGAACTTGTGCTATCAGCTCTGTGCTACCCTTTCTGTTAGGAATGAGCTATCCATTTTTCTTATTCTTTTTATTTTTTTACTTTTTTATTTTCTCGTCTCTCTTTCAGTCGTGAATGAGCTATCCATTTGTTTTTTTCATCTGCATTGTTTTATTTATTTAATTCTATTTATTGTATTTAAGTTGTTTGAATGTCCTTCCACTTCCTTTTCTCTTCCTATAGAGTGTATAATTCTTCCTTCACTCATATTCGATGAGTCGTTCTCGAATGTGAATCGAGAAATACATTGATCTTACCGTTTCAACTTGTCCTGCTAGTTTTCCCATTTTTAAGGATTGTATACATTCCTTTTTTATGTTGTCATAACGACTTGACATTACCAAGACTAGAGAGGATAGATTTTTCTGACTAGGTGTTAATTTACTTTTATTGATCCAGATGAGGTAAGTGGTGAAAAGAAACGGGTGATTACGAGTTCCTTTGAAATGACGACAAGGATGCTGTGAGAGTATACAGACAGATGTTTATTAGTCGTCGTGATTTGAGGTTTTTTTCACTTGAACCCCCGGTTTATATTTTTGGTATGATTTAATTTTCTTAATTCATTATTGTATTTCTATTGCTTTTGTCTCAGACACAACCTGTATGAGCACACAGAGGAAAAGTTTCACCAATGGTCTTCAACTTGAGTGCATCAAAATTTCTGCTTAACTAAAATTATCGCTTTAATAGGAGAAGCGGCAAAGACTCAAAAAATTCTCGAGTCATACAAAGCATATCAACCTGTAAAACGAGCGTCATCAACAATGAATAGACAGTATGAGCAACACTCAATTGATCAAGGAAACTCTTCCAGCAAAAAAAGAAAAAAATAAAAATAAATACTATTCAATCTGGAAAGAAAATAGTACTTTTTCAAACATGACTGTCTAACCAATTACAGCATTATCATATTTACTGTTGAAAACAGACTATTAGTATC